GAGTTTGGAACTTCTTCAAAAAGCTAAAAATGGAACTGCCTCTTGACTTGGCAATTCCAATGCTGGGACTATACTCTAAGAATCCCAAAACACCAATTCAAAAGAACCTGTGCACCTCTATGTTCATAGCAGCACAATTTACAATAGCCAAGTGCTGGAAGCAACCTAAGTGACCATCAGTAAATGAGTGGATCAAAAAACTATGGTACTATTACACAAAGGAATCCTATGCAGCAGAAAGAGCTACTACCCTTTGCAACAGCATGGATGGAACTGGAGAGCATTATGATGAGGAAAATAAGTCAGGTGGTGAAAGACAAATACCATATGATCTCACTTATAAGTTGAACGCAATCAACAAAACAAGCAAGGAAAATATAACCAGCAACATTGAAAGAAAAAGACAAACCAACAGTAACAAGAGGGAAGGAGGGAGGGGGCTAATAGGGAGAAGAAGGGGAAGGGTCAAGTTTGGAACATGTATAGAGGACCCATGGACAAAGCCAAAGTGGGGAAGGATTGAGGGTGGGAGGTGGAGGTGGGTGGGGCAGGGGAAAGTGGTGACCGGAAATGGAGACAAATGTATTGGGACAATAAAAATAAAATATCAAAAAAATAAAAACAAACAAACAAAGCAAGCAGAACTGGAACAGAATCATAGGTATGGAGATCATCTGGAGGGTTATCAGCTGGGAGGGAGGTGGGGAAGAATGGGGGAAAAGGTGCAGTGATTAAAAAGCATAATTGGTAGGTATAAAATAGACAGAGGTGTTAAGAATAGTATAGGGAATGGAGAAGACAAAGAACTTATATGCACAACCCATTGACATGAACTAAGTGGAGAGGCTGCTTGAGGGAAGTGGGGTACTTGGTGGAGGGGAGCATGGGGGAAAAGCTGGGGCAACTGTAATAACATGATCAATAAGATATACTTAAAAATGAAGATAAACATATATTCCCACATAACTATCTTTACCCAGCTATAAACCACTTTATCATTGTATTCATCACTCGAACCCTATCCAATGGAAACTAACTCCTAGTCCCCTTATGTCTCAGGTTTAAATTTATTCCACCATCGAAGCCTCCCCTGATACCATGTAGTAAGTTATATTATCCTGGTGAACAGTTTCAGAGAACCTTAAAATATTTTTTGCACTTATCATGTTCTTAATTACATAGGTACTGCTGTAAATAATTACTTAATGTCTCTTTTTTTTCTTTTGCCTATGTGTTTCATGGCATTTTATAATAGTTGGCTTTGATTTTTTGTTTTAATGATTTGAAAATTTTATGTGATAATTTTAAAAATTAAGTGTATTGAGGTAACATTGATTAATAACATTATACAAATTTCAGGTATCAAATATTATAATTTGATATCTGTATACTCTATTGCATGCTCACTACCCAAAGTCTAGCTCCCTTCTGTTAACTTTATTGCCCACTATCCTTCAACTTCCATGAGGGAGGAGTCAGGTCTGCCTTATTCAATGCTTAATTCTTAGAGCACTGAAGAGTGCCTACATATAGCAGTACTAAACAAATGAATGAGTAAATAAATGAATAACCTACTTATCAAATGTTTGTTTTATTGTGGTAAGAGCATTTAGAATGAGGCTTATCCTCTTCAGTTTTTAAGTGTACAATATTGTTAACTATAGGTACAATTTTCTAGAGCAGGTCTCTAGAATTTACTTATCTTGCTTAATTAAACTTGATGCCTATTGATTAGCAACTCCCGATTTCACTCTAACTCCAGCTCCTAGCTAGCATCATTCTATTCCTGAGACTGCAAATTTGACTATTTCAGATGCCTTACAAAGTAGAATCATGCATATTGGTCCTTTGATTGGCTTATTTCACTTAGCATAATGTCCTTTAGATTCATTCATGTTGCCACATATTGCAGAATTTCCTTCTTTCTTAAGACTGAATAACATTCCATTGTATGTATATGCCAAATATTCTTTATCCATTTATTGATCAATGGACATTTAGGTTACTTTCACATCTTGGATGTTGTGAATAGTGCTGCAATACCATTAGAGTGCTAATATCTCTTTGAGATATTAATTTAATTCTTTTAGATAAATATCTAGCAGTGGGATTACCAAATCATATGACAGCTCTATTTTTAATTATCTGAGGAACCTCCATTCTGTTTCCCATAACAACTGTGTAACTCTGCATTTCCAGTAACAATGTATATGGAGTTCTTTGTGGTTCTATGTGAATTTTAGAATTGTTCTCTCTCTATAAAACTTCCAATGGGATTTTGATAGGAATGCATTGACTCTGCTGTGGGTAGTATGGATATTTTAACAATATTAAGTCTTCCAACCCCAAAACACAGGATGTTTTTACCTTTGTCTGAAACTTGTTTAATCTCTTTTATTAATATTTTGAAGTTTTCACAAGTCTTTCACCTCCTTAAGTTTATTCTTAGGTATTTTATTCTTTTTGTTGTTATTGTAAATGGGATTGTTTCCTAATCTCTTTTTGAGATAGTTTGTTGTTAGTGTATAACTGCGACTGATGTTTGTATGTTGATGTTGTGCCCTGCAACTTGACTGAATTTACTTATTCAAACTGTTTTTTGATGGAGTCTTTAGAGTTTTTTCTATGTGAGGTCATGCTATCAGGGACAATTTTGCTTCTTCCTTTCAGATTTGGATGCCTTTTATTTATTTTTCTTGTGTAATTGCTCTGGCTAAGACTTCAGTGCTCTGTTGAATAGAAGTGGCAAGACTGAGCATTTTTGCCTTGTTTCTAATCTTAGAGGAAAAGTCTGTGCTAAAATCGGTGTGTTCACCAAATGGGTACATAGGGTAATCATGAAGAAGACGACTCCTGCGGTGTGCTGGCACGGCACTGTTGTAAGGGTGATGCTGGAGTCATAAAAGGAGTCTGGAGCAGTGCCCTTTTCTTCTATTTTTTGGAAGAGTTTGAGAAGAATTAGTATTAATTCTTCTTTAAATGGTTGGTAGAATTCACCCATGAAGCCAAACTTTCTTGGGCTTTTCTGTGTTGGGAGGTATTTGGTTATGGATTCAATTGCTTTATGTTATTGGTCTGTTTAGGCTTCCTATTTCTATCTTTCCCCAGCTTCATTGAGATATAATTGATATTTAAAATGTGTAAGTTTAAGGTATACAATGTGATAATTTGACATGTATGTATCAAATTTAATATATATGTATATATAGTAAAATGGTAAAAGGTGAAAGATTTATGTGATGTGAAGAGAAACCAAAGAGTGTGTACACACACACACACACACACACACACACACACAATATGACTAGTTAACACCTCCATCCCTTCATGTAATTATTGTTTTTCATGTATGAGAACATTTAAGATTGACTTTTTAAAAATAATTTTCAAGTTTGTAATACAGTATTGTTAGAGTCATCATGCTTTACTTTAGGTTCCCCAGAAAACTTATTCATTTTATATCTGGAAGTTTGCACCCTTTGACCAATATATTCCCATTTCCCTCACTCCCCAGACCCTGATAATCACTATTCTACTAATTCTGTGATTAGGTTTGCTTAGCTTCCACATTTAAGTAAGAATATACAGTATTTGACTTTCTCTGTCTGACTTATTTCACTTAGCATATTGCCCACAAGGTCCATGCATGTTGTCATAAAAGGTGGGATTTCTTTCTTTTTTATGGCTGAATAATATTCTATTATGATATATATTTTTTCCCCTCACATTTTCTGTATTCATTCATCCATTGAAAAACATAGAGGTTTGTTTCCATATCTTGGCTATTGTGAATAATGTTACAATGAATATGGAGATGCAGATATATCTTTGATATAGTATTTTTATTTCCTTCAGCTATATATGGTAGTTCTATTTTTTAATTTTTTTATTGTTGTTCAAGTACAGTTGTCTCCATTTCCCCCTCATGACTCTCTCCCACACCACCCACCCCCACCTTCCACCCCCCAACCAATTTCTTTACACGTAATTGTTCATATAATCCCTTATCCTTTTTATTTCTGAGGAGTCCATTATATATCTTCTTTAATTTCACATTTTATTTACTTGAATTCCTTTATTTTTAGTTAGCCTATGAATTTATCTATTTTGTTTATTTTTGCAAAAGCTACCTCTTAGTTTTGTGGGTCCTCTCTATCCTCTCTTTGACTTATTTCTGTTGTAATCTTTATTTTTTCCTTCCTCCTCCTAACATTGGGTTTAGTTATTTTTCTTTTTTCTAGTTCCCTGAGTTTTTTATTTAAGATCTTTCTTCTTTTTAAATGTAGTTGCTTATCACTAGAAATATCCCTCCTGTACTGTTTTAGCTGCATACTGTAACTTTGGGCGACTTGTGTTTTCATTTTCATTTGTCTCAAGATATTTTTCACATTTCCATTTGATATCCTATTTGACCCAGTGCTGTTTAAAAGTGTGTTGTTTATTTTTTATGTATTTGTAATTTTTTTTTCCTTTACTTGTGGTCACTGACAAAACTTTGCAGACAAACCTTTGAATAGTAAGGAAAGCTGAAGGGAACTCTCAATAGCTAAGCCTTGAGAAGTCCTTCACAGTTACCTGGATTGAGTCTTCTGGTGGCAACACTGTGGCATCACCCTTTCCAGAGATTATGATAACCCTATATAAGAGAGGCTAAGACTTCCAGAGAAAGTGACCTGGACTGTCAATATACCATCACCTGCATTTACATTTAGGACATGATGCTTTCTAAGATGTTAACTTACATGCCATTTTAAAAATATATAACTTAACAAAAAAGAAAACATCCTCTAATCATAGACTCCCTAGATGATGATCAAAGGAGAGAAAAAGTGAAACTATATTCTCTAGGTATCCTAACGCTAAAATATATATATCTAATTTGAACCCAACAGATTTTCAAAAAATGATACATTTGGTGACTCTAGAAAATTATAAATTAAAGTTGTCATTAATCAACATACTGGCATTTTATATTTGAGCTTGTTCTTCAGATCGAAGGACTAGGCTAATGGACAGCATAAACATCCATTACATGTTTCCAAAAGTATCATTTGGCAGTTTCTGGAATCACACAGTTTCTTCCAACATGACCAAGGTGTTCTAGCCATCCATTTTCTCATGGCCTCTTTTACCTCCTTGTTCCTCAGACTGTAGATGAGAGGGTTCAGCATGGGGATCACCACCGTGTAGAACACAGACACCACTTTAATATGGTCAGATGACTGGTTTGACTTTGGTGTGACATAAACAAAAGTGACAGTCCCATAAAACAACGTGACTGCAGTAAGGTGGGAAGTGCATGTAGAGAAGGCCTTGTGCCTGCCTTCCGTTGAGCGCATCTTCAGGATCGAGTGGAGGATGTACAGGTATGAAACAGCTATGATAAACAGAGTGATTACAACAATTGACCCAGCTGAGATGGCAGGAGATATTTCAGCAACATAAATATGGGTACAAGAAAGCTTCACTAGTGGTAGAAAGTCACAGAAGAAATGGTTGATTTTATTAGGGCCACAGAAAGTCAGACTCAATAAGCAGCCAGTAAATGATGAAGCATTCACACATCCGCCCAGATAGGAAGCAACTAACAGCATGACACAGACCCTGGGAGACATATGTGCAGAGTAGAGAAGTGGGGAGCAGATGGCCACGTAGCGGTCATAGGCCATGGCGGCCAGCAGGAAGCACTCAGCTGTTCCAAATATAACATCAGAGCCAAGCTGGGCTATGCAGCCAGTGACAGGAATGGTAATTCTCTCTTTTAGAAAGCTCACGATCATAATAGGTGTGACTGATGTGGAATACCCAATGTCCACAAAGGCCAAATGACTCAGGAAGAGGTACATCGGGGTGTGTAGCTGAGGGCTTCTTTGGATTAACATGATTATGCTAATATTGCCCAACATGGTAACAATGTAGATTCCTAGAAAAACTACAAAGAGGATGGAACAAAGTGTAGGATCCTTTGTTAATCCCAGAATAATGAATTCTGTCACCATTGTGTGGTTTCCAGTCTCCATCTTATTTGGAACAATGCCTATTGAAATAAAAACTGGTGGATATTACAATAAATTAAATAATCTCATAATTACTATATCTGCCATTCAACATACCAAAAAAATCAAAATGTAGATCTCACTTTTGTCTAATGCTTAGATTTTACAAATGTTTTCAAACATATTTACATTACACACAGTTTGAGAATATTAATGGCCATTAACATAAGGCCAAAGAACTCATAAGAAACCAGTAATTCAGATCAGAACATAGTTAGCATTCATGCTTGCATTCTTAGATCAAGTTACTGAAAGAACACATACAGCAATGATGTTTGGAGAACCTGATAAGAACCAGAATGGTCAAAGTGGTTGACTGTGTGCTAGTGTTAGTGTTTAGTGTTGGCTCTATTTCTTGATCACATTTGAGACCACACTTCCCAGCCCCCTCACAGTTAGATGAGACTGTGAACTATGCACGCCAATGAACTATGTGTCTCTTCTGGATCAAATTAAAGTACCAGTGGAAAACTCTCTCTTCTCTTCCACAGTGACATATTCTACATGATACTATTATAAAATAGTAGTACCTGCACCAGTCTGGAATTTGAGGGAATGTGGAGAATATACTGGAGACACACTAGAATTGAAAAATGAATCTATGTTGTATTGGAGCGCAGTGAGTTTGCAGAGTTAATTTGGTAGACGAGCATAACATCACCTAACCTGATTAATATAATTACAGGTGGGCTGTAAATGGAAGCTGCACGTAGACTTTAATCCTGAGAGCAATGTGAAAAATAAATCCACTTTGAGTCATTAACTATACGTTAGGCACTATACAGACCTAACACAAGGATACATTTTATTACCTTGTATGAATAACAAATATATTAGAACATGTTCACAGAATGCCTACATGCTTATATTAAGCCAACCATGTGAGAACAAGAAATTAATACAAAATAAATGAATGAAATATCAAGCTGTCATTTCACCTAACAAAAATTTGAGAAGGGTTACTAAACAGAATGCAAACATTAAAATTAAAGGAGATTTCCATTTTAAGCAATACTGTGAACATAAAATATCCTAAAATGTTTTCAACAAACTGTTTGGATAAATTGATACCTTAAATATTTTTTAAATGTTCAGAATGCAGAAATGAGCTTCCATGTAATAAAGGAAACCTCCACCAACTAAAAATGATGTGAGAGTTGATGATCAGCAAAATAAGCTGAAGCAGAACTGAAACTGTCTAGAGACAGCTCCAAACTCCACAACTAAGGACTCTGTGCTTTAACAGCTGTGTAGTCATCATTGCAGGTGAGGCTTTAGGACCTCAAATTTTAAATTGGTCAGGAGAAACCTCTCTGTGCAGGGAGTATTTAAAATAGAGTGTAAATGACACAAACCAACTGTGCTAAGGTAGAAGGGAAGAGCACCAGCCAGTGCAAAGGCTTTGAGGAGCGATTGCTTTGCACATTTGAAGAAAAGCAAGCCAATGTGGATGAAAAGAGCAAAACAAGATTAACTCAAGAACTAGGCAGGAGCCATGGTGGGAGTTCAAACATTTTCCTAAGTACCATGCGAAGACAATGCAAAGTTGTAAACAATGTCACACTCTAATTCACATAACAAAATAACTCTGCCTACTTACTCTAAGGGGGCTAAATTGCAGAGACGTAAGAGAATTAACAGAAAGCCCTGTGAGAATGTTGTACTGATCTAGGTGCAATATGGCGCTGACTTAGGTGGCAGTCATAAAGATTACTAAAGCATTTGATGTGTTAGGGGTGAATTTGCAGCTGAGTCAAGAGAAATGTGATGACAATGCCAACATATGATTTTTTAAAAAAAGAAGTTCAGCAAAACTGCAACTACTCATAGTTCTGAGGTCAACCCAGCAACTCAGTGAGAGGCAAGCCAGGTCACTGCAAAAGCAAGTACCGACCGGGGAAAAGAATCAGTATGTACTATCAAATCAAAAATATTATCAAATAATGCTTTGGAACAACTACTATCAAATATCATAAGGCTGCTACTTGAGAGAGAGAAAATGTCATTGTTTTTGAAAGAAATGGAGTTAACCATGTACTGACTCCTGAAGTGCTAAATGGAGTGTTTGCTGCTTTTTAAAGGATGTCAACATAAAAATTTTTATTACAATATATTCAGGTAAATAACTATCAGAACCCTATCATTCACCACTATGATGATGCAAAACTTGTACTCTATGCAGTGATCATTAAGCCAATGTATTTAATCAATTTTAATATAAATTAATTTGATACATTAATGTAAGAATACTAAATTTCTAGTTTAATTAGTCCTAGGATAGTATTAGAGGTTTAAAGGACACAAATCTGGAATAAATCTTATATTGTTAGAAGAAAATATCTACATGAAAGACTCAAAATCAGACATGAGTGCCAGCGTGATGTGGAAAGCACAGGGTAGTGCCATAAGGAAAGTAAAACAAGATTTCAGAGCCCAAACTCTGGGGGATAAATTCCAGGGCTGCCACTTAGCAGCTGGGTGATCTGGAAAAGTTATATAACCCTTCTGAGACTCAATTTCCTCATTTTAAAAAATGATATAATAACATTTACCTCTCAGGGTCACTGTTAAATGAGATGACGTTATGTTAAAACACCTACAGTGGATGGCAATAAATGGATACTCCATAAATGAGAATATACGTCAAATAAGTAACTATTACCTTCTACTGCAAATGCACAGGACACTTGGATCAAAAAACTATGGTACATTTACACAATGGAATACTACGCAGCAGAAAGAAAAAAAGAACTACTAAACTTCACGACAGCATGGATGGACCTGGAGAGCATAATGCTAAGCGAAATAAGCCAGGGGGCGAGAGACAAATACCCTATGATCTCACCTATAAGCAGAACCTAACCAACAATACAAAGATGCAAGGAAAATAAGACACAGCAACACTGAAAGGAAAAGAAATGAACAGAGACAAGAGGGATGGAGGGAAGGGGGCGGGGGGGGGGACAGGGGAAAAGGCAGGGAAGGGTCGGGTTGGGGAACGTGTAGCAAGGTCTCATGGACAAAACCAAAGGGGAAGGATTGAGGGAGGGAGGCAGGAAGGGGGCAGGGGAGAGTGGTGGGGGAAAGGCAGAGACAAATGTATTTGAAAAAATAAAAAATAAAAATAAATAAATAAATAAAATAAAACTTAAAAAAAAATCAATAGCAAAGGTTACCTGCTGGTCAAATATTATAAGAGGGAGAGACTCCAGGAATCACCTCTGAATCACAGGGCTTATTTATGCAGGATTTAGGACTGTTTGGAATACAAGACCTTAAGTACCTCAGCACCGGATACACACAGATTTGCTAACATTCCACTGAAAATCCAATGGGAGGAAACCCAATGAGACTGAGAAAATGAGCTGTTTACATATACCTATGCCATCGTGCTGCCTGAGATACTCATTAAGGTCTCAGGGGCTTCATGTATTCTCTTCATTATTTGCATATGGATATTACAGTGCATAGATCTAATTAGTTTTTAAACTTGATTTGAATTAACTGAATTAATGCGGGCTATGCTTTGATCGCTGGTGACATTTCTGAGAAGCAACTATGACCTGAAACAACTGTCTGGTGGTTCATATTTAGTGGCACCTTAGAAAGCTGTAGGAAAAGCCATGAAGCTTTTGTCTGCAAAAGTGACCCACAAGTTAACTTACTCGGCCTTGGCATTTCCACGTATCACACAATTCCATCGCACCCCAATGCTGGACTCTATAAATACAGAGATGCAGTTACTGAAGATACTTCTTCCTTTCTCCATCCTATGTTTATCTTTGTCCCAATCTCCCTTTCCGCATAAGCCAAGAATTTCTTTCTTGTTCCTGATTTCCGTGTGGTTTTTCTGTATGCAATGTTACTATTTGTACTGTTCTGAAATTGCTTTTTTTGTTTAAAATATTTTTAAGATAATTTCATGTGTGTATGAGTTTCCTTCATTCTTTGTAATGATTCAGAATAATTCAAGTTCTCTATTTAACTATATCTCTGCTAATGCTTCACTGTGCTCATACACCAGTTAGTTTTCTTGGATGTGTTCTAAGAAGTGAAGTCACTGGTTCAGAAGGTTTGCATAATCTAAATTCTAATACATAGTGCCCTCAAATTACACTTAAAGAAAATTAGCACAATTCTAAAATTGGTGCTTTACATTAATAATCTGCGAGATCAAATTTGCTTTTTTGTTGTTTATTTTGCCTACCAAATTCTGAAAGCCTTGCATTATGGTTACTGATTTTTCAATTTATCATATTCTTATCAAATTTTGATTTAAATATTTAAACACTGTTATTAGGTATATAAATGTTTAAGAACTGCTATAACTTCCATGTGAATTATATCTTTTATTTTTGTAAAGCCTTCAGAAGTATGTGTCAATTTACTTCCCACCCATAGTATCTGAGAGTACACATTCCCTCACTCAATTAATTGTTGATATTATCAAATTTGTTCCTATGCTATGAACATGATTTAATATGACAGATCTAATTCAAGTTTTCTATTTACCATGTTTTCTTTGCTTTTTTTACTGTTGTTTTCCTATCATTATTTTTACTTAGATTGAATCAGTTTTCTTTATACTATTTTTTAATATAATAATAGAGTGTATGCATCTTATTTCTATTCCTCTAATACGTAAAACTCTTCAAGTTTTAACACTGTGTTTACATTTTCTACCAATTCTAGAATTAATTTGTTTCTATATCTTACCCCCAAATTAGACAAAGATCAGGCCTCCGCCTCCCTTGCTTCCTTTCCTCACCCTCCCCCATCTGGTCTCTCAAATCGTTAGGAAACTCAGCTACAAAATATTATTTCTTACCCACAATTATTTAGACTTTTATGTGTTCCTTTGCTCATTCTTGCCCTTAGGTTCTCTTGTTCTTCATCTGGAAAGATATGACTTGTGATTAGTAAAATTTCAGGGTCCCTCCATGACATAAAAATGTCTTTATATT